AATCAAAAAGCGTCATGACAGAGTATTAAGGTCGACCAGTCGACTAGTCGACTAGTCGGTGCAACCCCTAGTGTCCACATTCTTCTTTACAAACTCAGAGATTCACCGTATGAACTGAAAAATGTTTTAAGATTTTGCTTTCCTTTGAATCATTGAACTAATATTTAGTTGTATAACCACTGCTTTTTAGAACTGCTGCACATCTGTGTTGTAGGGAGTCGACCAACTTCTGGCACCTATGAACAGGTATTCCAGCTCAGGATGATTGGACTACATTCTACAGTTCTTTGGCATTTCTTGGTTTTGCCTCAGAAACAGCATTTTTTATGTTACCCCACAAGTTTTCTATTGGATTAAGGTTCATGGATTGGGCTGGCCACTCCATAACGTCAATCTTGTTGGTCTGGAACCAAGATGTTGCTCATTTACTGGTGTGTTTGGGGTCGTTGTCTTGTTGAAACACCCATTTCAAGGGCATTTCCTCCTCAGCATAAGGTGACATGACCTCTTCAAGTATTTTGAGGTATTCAAACTGATCCATGATCCCTAAATAGGCCCGCCACCGTAGTATGAGAAACATCCCCATATCATGATGCTTGCACCACCATGCTTCACTGTCTTCGCAGTGTACTGTGGCTTGAATTCAGTGTTTGGGGGTCGTCTGACAAACTGCCTGCAGCCACTAGACCCAAAAAGAACAATCTCTCTTTCATCAGCCCAGAAAATGTTGCACCATGTTGCACCTTTGTTCTTTGGCAAATTGTAACCTCTTCAGCACGTCTTTTTTTCAGCAATGGGATTTTGCGGGGGCTTCTTGCCAATAGCTTGGCTTCATATAGGCGTCATCTGATTGTAACAGAACTCACGGGTAACTTTAGTCCTTCTTTGATCTTCCTGGAGTTGAGTCTTTGCCATCTTGACTATTCTTCGATCCATTCGAATGGTAGTTTTTCGTTTTCTTCCACGTCTTTTAGGTTTTGGTTAAAATTTTAAAGCATTTGAAGAAATGTGTAATGACAATAAAGTCAGTTTATTCTATTCTATTCTATTCTTTCCTAGTTTCTAATGGGTTTAGCAAAAACAGGAGTTTCAGCTGAAGCTGACAAGATTTCGTTTTTATCCGATTCCTCTTTTTCTAAGACTGATTGCTTCCGCATATGACCAAATTACTCTTGTTGTGTATGATCAGAAAATGTAGGCCATGAGATTACTATACAGTCCTAACTCAGGTGTCACGTCACCATCGGTTTGTCCAGCTGACCGCTCACCCGTGACCACCTGGACTCATATCTTCTGAAGTGTGTCCATCTGTGGTTCTGCACAGAGCAGAGTAGACTCCCATATCTGAGGCCGTAGTCCTATTGTTAGCAAACAGGTGAATGCTGGTGATTTAGAATATTTCATCTCATATGCCATGTGCATTCTATCTTTCTGGCACTTGCCACATGAATTGACCAATTCCGCCGCTGATTCAGCCTTGGAGGGTTTTTTTAAAGTGTCAATGCCCAGTGACCTGGTGATGTTTGAGTTGCCCCTGTGGCATGGCTGGGCCTTGTTATACTGACAGCTTGCTTCTTCAGAGGATGGTCTGCCTGTCCTCCGAGGTGGAGGGCTCACTGAAAACCCTAACAATGAACGATAGAGCTAATGATGGATATCTAATGGACAGCAAATGTGCTGGTGAGATTCCTCTTTTCTCCTCCTTAATGTTGAACAAAATTTATATATTTTAATGAATAGTTTGAAAGTGCCTTCTGGAAGAGAGGGGGGGTTTGTCCATTACTGGCTAGATCCCAGAAACATGCTGCTGGTTGTGCTGGCATGACATCACAGGAGGGATGACTGATGTCTTTAATATTCCCTTATTAGATGGGCTAATTACTTAGGTACTACTACTTAGCTTCTACCCCAGTAAACTGCCATTCGTAGCCTTTCTGTTTTACAGTTAAATATGCAAAAAAACTAAAATGAAACTGAGTTAATATATTGGCTGTTTCTCTTATTTTTTCCCCTCATTGGGGATTTTTGTTCTGTTCCATTTCATCATTTTTCCCCTGTTCCTCTTCCACTGACCAGCTGAAAAATGTGCAATTAATGCGACATATCTGTTGCAATCCAGTGCTCTGCAGTAGTTGACATGGCTGGACCAGAGAGGCACAGCTCTGGCTGTGTCGCAACAGACCGACATGTAAGTGTGTTGTAATAAATCACACTCGTATCTCTGCATGCCCCCCCCCCCCACCTTCCTGCTGCTGTTTCAGCTGTCAGAAGCATTTATCTCAGTGTACCAGACCTAAAAACAAAGAAAGCAGTTATGCGCAGAGAAAGCTGGGTGGTCAACAAAGATAAATGTCTTCTTTTTTTTTAAGATGGGGGTATCGTTCTGTTTAAAGAGGAGGAGGTCTCTCAACGAACGCATGAACTCCATGGCTTCCCGGTTCTCCAGCTTCCAGCTTCTCACTGGCTCACTGGTTAGAGGGATGGGAATGCGTTCATGAGAGATAGAGCCCCCCCGCCTTGAGAATGGGCAGCTTCAGGCTTCTGCTGGAATGTGAACAGGTCCAGACCTGACTTCCGCAAAATACAGGAAGCTGATCGCTAACCGTTGGCAGGCAGACACAGAACACTGTGGTGTTACGCCTCGGTGGTGAACTTATATACTTAAAATATATATATATATATATACACACAGTAGATACCTTGTTATATGTGACTTTCAAATAGCTAAGCAAGAAGATTCACATCAAAGGTAAGTGTGAAATTATAGTTTTTGAACATTTTCTGCCTTCTGGTGTCTGGCATGCTGTGAGATAATGTGTTGTGCGACTTTCGGAGCGTCTGATGCTGGTTGGGCTATCGCTTTCGATGTTGAGATGTTCTCTCTCAGCACTGGCATGACCATGCAGGTCAGCAGTGTGATTTTATACCTAAAGATTAAAACTAAGGTAACGGTATGCCCTTGTGCAGTGAAATGGGCCACTGCAAAAGTTAACAATTACGGGGGAAGCTTAGCGGTGTGATAACTGGATAACTGCATGTATGAAGCAGGTGTCATGAATTTTACTGCGGTGGGGTGGTGGGGATGTATTTGAAGTTGAACTGGGAGAGAAAATTAGCTGGTAAATATTACTATTTTGGTCAGGGGTTTGTCAGCAGTGATGCATGGCTGCAGTTGGTGATGCATGTGGCCCTGCATGCTGCATGAGAAAAAAGCTGCATCCCTCCATCTGCTCTGTGCCAAAGCCGGCACGTGTGAACTCGGCCCGCGGTCATGTGACAGCGCTGTGCATGTCCCTTCCCTCGGGACACGTTTTCAGGGCTCATGCCGACATTTTGAAAACCCGCATTCATGAACATTCGCCAAGCTGGATGGTAAATTTCCAACATCTATATTTTTCTAGAACTTTTTGTCTATTATTATTATTATTATTATTATTAATAATAATAATAATTGGCTATGCAGTGTGCTGGAAATCCTGTTCTTCCTGAGACAGGTGTCAGTCTGGCCCGTGCAGAATAAGCAGCTCAGAAGGATTTATTCATTAATTTTGTCCGGTCGTGTGTCTTACCTGTACTTTGGCACGTTGTCATGAGGCTGACTTCACCAACAGTCGCTGTGATCACCATGGGGCGTAGATCATCTAGACAAACCTCGGGAAGGACAATGACACGCGTTTCAGTTTGGGTTTGTGGACTGTCCCACCGGGAACCCTCAGTGGGCTGGGGAAGACGTTCACCAGCCCCCTGCCTTTCTTCAGTGACAAGCAGTGAGTTCAGCAGAGGGTTATCACAACACACTGGAGGCCGTTTCACATCGGCTTACCACCGCAACCTCTGTTGATCACGGTTCACCTAACAGGTGATGGGATGCATTGTGAAGATCTTCAGAAAAGTCTTTCTCCTGCTTACGTTCTTTTCTGTTGTTCTCCTTTTCTAAAACACCCAAATTATAAAAATTCCGTCCATCTTTAAGTTGCTCACAGCCAGTTGTCAGATTCCCCCACATTGTATAAAATTCCCTCCTGAATCAGGGATGGCAGTGTGCCCCCCCACCATGAAAGCCCCCTTCCGTGAGTCGTTGGCTGGCTGCATGCTGATGTGGAGAGTCGACGGATGTGACCCATCTAGGCGTCTCTCGCACAACCTCGGCGTGCCACATTCTGGTTCAGCAGCAACCCTGATCTGCAGACCAGCTGCAAGCAGAACTTCACATGCATGCATGCGACTGTCAGCATACTGGTGACTACGGATTCGGATCAGTTGATTTGTTAGCATTTAAAAATCCCCACATAGAGCCACTTTATGAGGCTAGATTTACTAAATTTTAAATCTAAACACGCCATTTGGAGAGCCTTTGTCAGAAATATATATGAAAACATGATGTGTCCATAAAAATATTTAGCTTTTTTCCCCAATATTAAAGTCAGAAAACACATGAAATACATTTAGTTTTCCCCTCAAGGAAAATAATTTCTACTTGGATTGTATTTGCGTTACTGAACGTGCTGAGAGAATGGTGGTTCCTTTGAAGCTCTGAAGAAGCACCCAAATGGCTACCATAGAGGTGTCCTTTCCTCCGCAGGCTCTCAAACTGTAACAATCTCTGTTCTCTACATGATTTTTCAGTCGTTGGCTGCTTCTCCATCCTGTCTGCTGAGTTGTCCAGTCTTGATTTTGTTTTGTAGAACATAAGTCTCTATTATTTAAGATTTCAATGTTTTTTTCTAGCAGGGATTTGCTGCAGACAGTTTAGCTGTGAAAAGGTGCTTAACTTCGGCCGAGGTTTTACTCATCCGGCCAGTAGTTGATGTGGTTCTGTACAACCATATGAAAAATCTTGATTTGCATGTCATACCTCATCTGCACACCAAGTGTCTTGAGAAGAAGTTATGGCGTTCTACTCGAGAAGGAAAATTAGGTTCTCACTCAGCCCAGGTGGAAAAACCATAAGCGGTATTGTTTCTTTGTTTATGTCATTTTATTATCTTCAATTTAATCAGTAGAGGCAGAAAATTACAAGACATCAAAGTTATACATTCCATTGTTTGTGATGATGATTTTGTCAGGATTCTTTTAAAAAGAATCCATAAAAAATCCACTAATTATTTTCAAATTTCTTCACTTTCTGAGTATTTAGTCATACTCTACTTATCTTTTGTTTCCTGTTTCTTGCTCCTCCAGCTGTGTGACAAAACCACTTCCTGAGGGCATGTTGTTCAGACTGGCTGACAGTGCGATGCAAAGCATTACTGTTTACATACATACAAAGACACAACGCTTTTCAGGACATCAAGCATATCTGTTCTGGAATATAAGGATGGCATCAATTGGCTATCATGGTGTGTGAAATTTGACACCTTGTGGTAAAAGAACTCTAAATAGTGTCTTCACAGTGGCGATCTGAGTCCTGTGATTATTGTCAACAGAGTAACTGTCTGGGCCTTGTGATAATCTGAGCTGTTTTCCAGGGAATATTTCGAGTGATTCAGTCATTCCAGGTCCACTTTAGGATTACTTACACTGTCAGAACCATTGTAGTCTGTTCAGATCCAGTGTCCTTCGATGCCCCGGGCACTGTGAGCTGTCTGTGGAAATGGTGAAGTAGCACAAGTCCCACATATGTGGCCCTGGAGAGGCTGTGACAGGAGGGAGGGGCCTGGTGGGGGGAGGGAGGTGATCTAGAGTTAACTGATTTATTTCCTGAGAACTTCTGAGACCGAGGGCAGCATCACATCAATGCACAGAAGAGGCTACTAGACTATTATAAACAAAACCGCATTCATGCTGCTTTTAGTGGCCATCGCAGTGTTTGTCCTGTTAAATTGGGCAGCGTATTTACAACCAAAGCCCTAAAATTGTCTCAGTAGACAAGCAAAACAACACATTATCTTTCACCCCTGAAATGTTAACAGAAAAGCTTGTTCTCCTGTTTTTTGTGCTCAAACAGGTCTTTGTGGCTTCACGAAAATCATGTTTCCTGCGTGCTTAAATCTTTCATAAGCAATAGGATTTTCTCCAAGGCTACATGTCTTAACAGAGCATAGCAAGACTATGCAAGTTTCCTAGCTCGATGGCAGAGCTTTACAGAAGAGTGAGATTGCGGGAGGCTGGTTATTTCACCTGGTATCTGATTAATGCATCTAAGGCTCAGTGTATCTCGTCCCTGTCCAGGTGCTTAGACTTCCTGCTCTGTGGTCAAGGCTAGATCCTGTTTCTTAGTATCTAGCTTTAGTTTTGATATGCACCATGACTACAGCTAGTTGTTGATTTGATTACTATAGAGTGACCAGCATATTGTATATAAGAAATCTATCCTGGGTATTTTTACACGTCACCCAATGTTCCCAATGATGGTCTTCATGAACACGAAGACCTGAGCAGACCTTCCACCCCTTTCATTGTCTCTGACAGATGGAAGACATCGACGCCATGTTCTCCGACCTCCTCGGGGAGATGGATGCCCTGACCCAGGTGAGCTCCACGGGAACGGCTGGCCTCAGATGACGCGATTGGTTGGGCAGATCTCCAATGGGAATGCAGCCAAACAGAAAGGAGCTTCAAATCAGATTCAACCACCTTCCATTATTTATGACTGTAACAGAATTAGTGACCAAACTGACATCTTCCATGTGTCTTGTTTCTCCTGATAATGTTTGGGCATCTTAAAAAGTTACAGATACAACCAAGAGCTCAGTAGGGACAGATCATCATATATCCTCCTCTTTCCTCAGTTGGTTGGGGGGTCAAACTCACATTTTAACGCTTCCGTTTGTAGCTGAGTGTTAACACATGACGCTGCTCTGAACTCTGCTCTGATTGCCTCCAATACCCAAATTTCCTGTGTTTTTTTTCCTATGAAATTAAGACATGAGAAGTGGAAAAGTACTGTGTGAATCTGTTCCTCTTCTTCCACTAGGGGAAAAGAAACATCTTGAGGCAATTTTACTTTTTCATTGAAATGACACATAAAATACAGTACTTGCGTCCATTACTCCCCTTTGAAAGACCATTAATTCACATGCAATTTTTGAACTTACACTATTACTGAATTCAGGAGTTCGTCCAGAAGAATGTTGGGTGATGGTTTTTTAAGTCCCCCCACATAATAAATCGCTTTACGTTTCCATTTATTCTTATTTAGCTGACATTTTTGTCTAAAGCAAACGGCAAGTGAAACAAACAGCACATTACAAACATATGTGCTGTCAAAGAGTTGAGTGGGCAAAAGGCGGATAGGTTGAGCTTCCAATGAATGCCCAGATATAAGTGTAATTAGTATGGTAAGGAAAGCTACCCAGCACCTTCCAAACAGAGCAGGAACCCAATAAGGCTGCTATTCGCTGAGCAAACATCTAGGGAGCACAGAGTGGGGTCAGGCTAGTAGAGCTTTATCCTCAGTTTTTTCACACTGCCGTAAGGTTGCATCCAAGTCCATACCATCATACCACAATTTACATCATTTATATGTAATATATTTTTGTCATTCAAAATCACACACTGATTTTTAGGATACAGCAAATCAAAAATCATGAGTATGTTGTAGCTATAGTTCTGTTCTCATTGGGGAAGACATTCAGTATGGTGTTAGGGGGTTTGGAAGTGCCCCTTCCCATGTGAGTTTCTCCTGTATTTCATGATGAGAAGAAAAACTCTGATTCCAATGGGAACGGTGCTGGTTTTATGGGTTTGTGACGAGCGTCCCTGTCCTCCCTCTGCAGAGTCTCGACGCTGAGGTCCAGCCCCCGCAGCCCCCGCAGCCTCCGCCTGCCTCATCCGAAGACATGGACTTCTCCGTGGGTTTTACAGACCTCAAAGGTAAACAGCACAGCAGCTCACCAAGTTCCATTGTGGTATTACTTCCCAAAGGGGAGTGACACCTCGCAGTCCTGTGTTTTCTCTCGACTGTGATATAGTCTATCTTAGAACACAGGGCCTAGATTATCAATTTCAATAGCACTTGAAGATTTAAGTATAAAGGAGCTTTATTGGTTATGTGCATCAGCTGCACTGGAATGCTGTTCAGCCTTAAGGCCTTTTCACAGCAAGCCTGACGACACTATTCTGAAATGAATAAACATATTTCTCTGATGGCTTTCATACCAAGTCTGACAAATTTGCGTTGTCAAGATCCATGATTTTTTTATTCGGAAAGAGCTCAATTTCTGCAGTATTCAGATGTGTTATAAAAAAAACAACCAATAGGATGTCGGTTTTTACACATGATCAGTTGTTTTTTTTTTGAATACAAAGAAAACCATTGGTTTGGTTTAAAACCCACGCCTGATGATAAGCCATACACACCACTGACATCCCTTTCTGCCTGCTTATGGGCGGCCCTGGCCAGTAGTGGTTCATATCCTGCCCCATATAATAATATAAATCTATAACTTACAAAGTTAAAAATGTTAATATTCTAAGATCGAAAGAATCCATACTATCCTGTCTTTTGGGGACATGAGGCTTATGCTGTTTGCAGCTGTTCTGGCTGCTTGTGTTTCTGTTGATTTTTCTTTATTTTTTTTAAGGTTTTATAATATGTGCCTTGGATTATATTAGACTGTAGCTATTTATTAATATTTTTATTTTGCTTGATTTATAGACATGTATGCAATCAATATTAAATAAAATCAATTTAAAAATAGTCAATAAACTCTGTTTTGATGTTTGATGTTAGATGATGTTGCTGCCATGTTCTTGTTATTAATTTAGCTTAGCCTGAAATACTGATAATCCCGCTTTCTGGAATATTCCCTGTAGTTATTTAACTGATAATAGATCGATACACCCAAAGCTCTTTATTCCCATGTGAACCAGTCATTATAAAGTATAAACCTTTTTTGAATTGGAAGTATCCAGTATATTTGTCTTTTTATTTTTATTTGTTTACTCAAAAGAAGAAGAAAAAAACTTTCTCACTGCTCTCAGTGCTGCTTGCTAGTTTGACAGTTCCTTTTGGTACACAAACTTTTCTCAAATCAATTGTGAAAATTTCACATTATGTTTTGTGTGAAAGATTTCGATGTGTCAAATTCGCTTCCAAATTTTTCACAAATTCAACTCAATTTTTTGTGCCGCGTTTGGTGCGAAAAGGCCTTTACTCGCTTAGAAAAGTTAAAAAATGATGCAGATAGTGCAGAGCAATACAAGACAGTGCTAAATAACGCAAAACCTGGACTGTGGGTCTTTACTGACGCAAGCAATTGGAAGTCTTGTGCCCTGAAGTCTCTAATTCATTATTCGTTCAATCCTGTGTTGGACACCCTACCAGCATCCCTGAACGAGCTGGAGGACAATGACCTGGATGCGCTGATGGCTGACCTGGTGGCGGAGATCAATGCCGTGGAGGAGAGCGTGGCGCAGGCAAAGAGTGCTGGTGGGGCCCCTAAGCCACCCCCGCCAAAGACTCAAGACCATGCAGCCCCTCACCCCGCTGTGCAGAACAACCTCGGCCCCAGCATCCCGGCCTTTGCGCCCTCCCCGGATTTAACCACCCTATCTCCGGCACTCAAACCACAACTGCCGGTAAAGTGGGGTCCTCGCTCCTGTTCGGTGCTGTTTATATGATGTGGTACTATCTTTAAAGAGATGGTACAAAAAACCTTAAGAGCATGTATATGGAGCTGTCATTCAAATGCTGCATTCCAGAGAAGACACTGTGACTTTAAACAGCAATGCTGGCCAACTATGGTAAAGTAGCGTAATGATTATCACAGTGCAGTAAACCAGAACTATGGTAAAGAAACACTAATATACGGAAGAAGGGAAAAATAGAAAAGATCTGTTGGCAGTATTTGATCATATTTAAATCTCAATATATATAGATCTCAAAAGAAATCCTCTATTGTTAGCAACAAATTTAATCCTTAGTGGTGGTGGAAGAGATCATATCCCAAACACTGGGAAAGTGCTGTTTAATCTTCTGTGACAGGTGAATGTAAAACACACATTTTATTCCACGATTATTTGTTTTCCAGGAGGATGCTGAGGCTCAGGCCAAAGCAGATAAAATAAAGCAGGCTCTGGAGAAGCTGAAGGAGGCCAAAGTGAAGAAGGTGAGCATGGGGGCCAGGCGTGGGGGAGAACATCAGTGTGTGCTAGGGTCCTACTGGCACCTCTGGCCTGGGGAGTCAGTCGGCTGGCATGTGAAAATAAAACAGGCATCTCTGGACGGACCCTTGGTAGCACATTGCGTCTTTGGCAATGGAACAGTCAACTTCTATAACAGGTTAGATTCAACCCAGTGCATGGGGATGCATAGTCAGTCCATATTTTGGCTCCCCCCACTTAGAACACTAAATACCTGGTACAGGTGTGTTGAGAGCTGGGAGGGAGCAAAAATGTAGACAACCTGGAAGTCCTTGAGGACTGCGTTGAGAAATGCTACAGTAGATAATTTGCTTCCAATAAATAATGTAACCCAAATGGTAGTTCAGGGTTGCAATCACAGTAATCACAAGAAGAAAATGCATCTGTTACCTTATGTTTATATGATCACAGTGATCTCATGGAATGACCAGTCCTGGGGCCACATCTTCACATCGCTTTCAATTCAGAGGCCTAGTGGGAATGAGTGAGAATCCAGCTTCCTTCACCCCAAGTCCCACCGTTCATGGTGATGTCATTGTTGGGTCATGGCTGAAGAGTTGGCACGCGGTTTTAAGTGTGACATAATGCTATATGACAGAAGCTCAAAATATTTATCTTTTTTGCAAGAACCACTCACAAGTCATTGTGAATGAATTTCATTGGACTCTTAGCATGAAAATGGCTGACATCAGTTTTGGGAAATACAGGAAGTAGAAGAAAAAGGAAGCTGGGTCCCCACACGTTGTCTTAAAGCACACCTAGTTTCTATTGTGAAAGGGCTTCTTCAGAAGAAATTCCCTCTAATCTCTTATACATGTTTCCTTGGTGTAGTTTCGGTCTGTGTGCTTCTACTTGTTTAGTAACCATTTCTGTTTGCAATGAAGCAATATACACTTGCAACAGCCCTCCAGGAATATCTCCCATCATCCCACCTCTTCTCCTCGTGAGGGTCCAGTTATCAGTATCAGTTATCATGTGACATAATCTACTTTTATATGGCACATTTTCCTCCATCAAACGACCCAGCTCACTGGTCTCCAGACTAAGAGGATACTTATTTTTCAATGTTACATTGAAATATTGCCCCTATCATTTAAGGTCCCTCCATTTGAGTAGCTCTTTGGGGTTTTGTGGGCCGTATCAGAGTGGATGACTCCCTCGAGGGTCATGATCTTAACTAGCACATGAGCCAGGAGAGCAATGTCAAAGGATACCTCCAGTTTCCACATGTCCACGTCTCCCTGACATCTCGCCGTAGCTCGTCACTAAGGTCACCATGAGCGATGAATCTTCCAAGACCTTGATGGTGGACGAAAGGCAGATGGTGCGAGATGTGCTGGACAACCTCTTTGAGAAGACACACTGCAACTGCAGCGTGGACTGGACCCTGATTGAGACCAACCCTGAGCTAAACACCGGTAAGACGACTCGCTCCTGTAGTTCAGCAAGTAGAACATTTTGCTAAGAGAATAATGATCATGAGTTCGAATCCCTGAGAACATGCATAATTGTAACCTTCCCCTCTAATAGTCACTTTGGATAAAAGTGACTGGTAAATGTCCACAGCTAGAACTCTCTACTTTGTACTGCATGACATAATGATGTCGTACAATCAGAGTTGGGTAATTCGGGTCCAGAGAGTAAAAGTCCAGACCGGGATTTTGGTTCAACCAACCACTTGAGTACTCTGTGACTGTGACTCTTTATGCTCAACTGGTTGGTTGAAACAAAATCCCGGTCTGGACTTTTACTCTCTGAACCTGAAATACCCAACTCTGCCCACAATTGCTAAAGTCAATGTTCTTCTATAGGAAGGAAGATGGGGCTTGGTCTGTGAGCTGAATATTAAAGTGACTATTTACAAGATTATCTATGGGTGTGACACAACAGCATTTTGCCCCATTTTCATACTTGAACCATAAGTGGAATGGGGGCAGGGTGGGGTGGAGCTTGAGTTACTCATAGTGGCACGCTAAGGCTGCCGTGTCACCATGAGTGTCACCACCCAATGATAAATTTCCATAATTTCCATCCCAGAGCCTTGTGGAAATTTCCAAAGCTGCCCCTTATTGTCTTCTGCTAATGGGCAATGAGCAGTTATGGGTGTCGACACAAGCACAGGGCTTGATTGAGCCACCACTAGTTTAGTACATTATGCACTGAGTATAAGAGGCACCACGCCCAACCCCCCTCCCCCTGTTGATGCTGTAAAGTCAGAAAAAGTCTCTGTGGTGAACCGCAGGGCGAGGGGGGGGAAGTGCCTTAATAGACACCCCTCAGAACAGTTGGTGTGTGTACTTGATATAGTTGTTGGAGGGTAAAATAATAACATCACCTTCTTTTTTATCAGAAAGAGGATTTGAAGACCATGAACATTTAGTGGAGACCTTGTCCGCATGGACGAGAGACAGCGAAAACAAAATCTATTTCCTGGAGAAGGTTGACAAATATGCAGTCTTTAAAAACCCACAGGTAATCTTTCTAATTTTTTTTTCTTGTACTGAAAGTGTGTCGCCCAAATCGTGTTCAGTGGGGCAGACATGGAACACGTTCGTACAGAGAATTACGCGCTACAAGCCCTCTGACACAAGTGATTTCTGACCCTTAAGAAGAGCGTGGAAGAGCCCCTCCCTTTACATAGACCTCCTTCTAAGCTTTTGCAGACAGCTCCACCTTCTCCACTTTCATAACTCTGAAAGTGCTATATGGTTGCCAGAGTGATGTTTCAGATGTCCTCCAGTGGTGGCTTATGGAAAATCCAGGAGGGTGATTCAAAATTTGGCAAGAGAAGAACATTTTTTAACCATTAAGAATATACATTTCAGTGCCATTAAACCTGACCATGCTTATAACTTCCGGTATACTTGCTGGCAACTAGTGATGATAAACACAACAACCATAAGCAACTCTTTGTATAATTAACAACAAGTATGGTCAGGTTTAATGCAGCACATTACTAGAAATTTATACCACAGGTGATTATAGATGATTATAGATTCCATTAGTGCTTCCTGGTTACTAGCGAGGATGATGTCCGTTCATCGGTCACTATCATGCCCTTTGTTTCAGTGAAGTTCTTCACACAGTGGACACATGTTGTTTCATTCATTTATCTCTGTAGAACTTCTACCTCTGGAAGAAAGACAAAAAAGCTCTCCAGGACGTGAAAGACAAAGACAAGGAGTTACTCCTGAAGGTAAGGATTCCCATTGCTCGTCGTCCTGGAGACACATCTAGAAAGCAGAGGGCTTATTTTCTCTTTAGTATTAAAACAGACGTCTATCACCCCAAGAATGGGGGGTCATGAAGAATATGACCTTCGGTATAGTGCAGGGGTGGGGAACCTGGTCCATGGAGGGTTGGTGTGGGTGCAGATTTTTGAGATGACCTCTCAATCAGCCAATAACAGTGGGTCCCCACCGGCCCTCCATGGATCAGGTTCCCCACCCCTGGTATAGTGGAACTATGAGGCTCAGGAACATAAATGTCAAGTGAGCTGCCACATCACGGCTTGCTTCCCAATGTAGGAGAATTTCTGCGGGACCTCCATTATTGTACCAGACCTGGAGGGAGTCCTTTATCTGAAGGAGGATGGGAAGAAATCGTGGAAGCAGCGATACTTTCTGCTACGGGCATCCGGAATTTACTATGTTCCAAAAGGGAAAACCAAGGTGAGGAACACTTTCGTGTAGCCCCCAGCTCGGGTATAAACCTACACCCCCCCCCCCCCCCCCCCCCCCCACAAATTGCGGTTGACAGGATCGTAACCTACCCCCATCCCCAAACAAAAACACTTGTATAAACATTAGCCATGAGCTCAAGAACATTGTGGAATTGACAGGAGGGTGTTTCTAGCCCAAGGCTGATTAAAACATCTCGGTTTTCCCCCCAAACTAGATATCAGACACTGAGAGTAGTATGGCATATTGAAAAACATCCAGGTCCAAGAATCCAGGTTCACTTTTAGGTTTTACCAGTCCTGCCCTTGCTGGGACAGCTATACTCCCCTAAACCTAATGAGTATTGATTTTTTTAGAGACCAATTTGAGTTGTAATTGCCATGATGTTCCATATGGTGGTGCTGCTCGAATAAAAGACTCACAAACAGGAGTGAGAAGATCTGTGTTGGTTGCCGTGGGCACTGTGCTGCCCCAAAGCCCCCGCCTTTCTGTCCTCGGGGGTTTAAAGGGGCCAGTGTAAGCAGACACCACAGAGGAGGACCGAGAGGGTCATACCATTATTGGTCTGAGATGACCCCTGAGGACAGCCTGACAGGGGCTGATTTAAAGTGACCTTTTAAGATACCAGAGTCACACTACATTACATTTACATTGAACATCATCATCTTAGTTTATGCTTTCTACAGAGTACATAATTTTAGCATCAAGTTGACTGAACCACGCAATGTGTGCAGACATTAGCGTGCACTGGAGGAACAGGGGCTGTGCACTGCTGGTAATACAATCTTCTGGAGATTTGTGGGACTGATAGCGATTTATAGAGTTGCTGCCTCTTTCTGGACAGACTTCCCGTGACCTGGCGTGCTTCGTGCAGTTCGACAACGTCAACATTTACTATGGCAAGGAGTACAAGAACAAGTACAAGGCGCCCACGGACTTCTGCTTTGTCCTCAAGGTAAGCCAGTCCTCCTTAGCAAGACCACTAGTCCACCTCATTCCCTATTGTCAGCATAACTGATAGATTTGGTAATGTGTTTTTCATATGGACAAACAATATGAAAGAATATAAAGTTTAGTAATATGAAGAATTACCAGGACGTGTTCGTAAAATTGTCAAACTCCCACCTCCACACACACACACACATACTATTGTTTTGTGGATTGTCAATAAATAAATGAACCAAATGCCCAAAAAGTTCACGATGAGATCATGTCACTGTTAAACAAGTTCTTCCTCATGGGGGGGGGGGGGGGGGGGTCAATAAATAAATGAACCAAATGCCCAAAAAGTTCACGATGAGATCATGTCACTGTTAAACAAGTTCTTCCTCATGGGGGGGGTCTCTCCACCACGCATAAGCAAAGTACAGGATACCTCAGCTAATAATACCATTCAAAATAATTTCCTGTTCATATGCAAGCAGCATTGCTATAGAGCTGCTTTAACTCCTTGGTGGTGGGTTTTTCACTGCATAAACATGGCGTGCTACCAAGTCTGCTTCAGCCCAGTTGAAAAGTAAGATTTTGAAACCCTTGGTCAGGTTCTCTTGAAGCAGACTGATATCTGCAAGACGATTTTGGCGAGGGTCACTGAAGGATGTGATAATATTGATGGGGGGGGGTAACAAAAGGGTGATGTGAACCAGATCAACAATCTGAACTGCTTTGCTCTTGCAGTTTACAACAATGAAACTGAGGTTGAGTTTACAGCAAAAACAAAATGCAGGAAGGTTTGATACACACAGATGTTGCCAAAGGCACGAACCATCAGTATTAAGTATGACCCCTTCCCTGTCCTCCAAACACCATTTTTTTTCCTACTGTGCGTTTGAGAAACCCTGGGTTACTTCGAGTTTAGTGTGGGCATCACTTTGTCAAGCAGGACACCAAAAGCATGTTCGGTCACCTGTACAGGGGTGCCGGAACAAACAATGATCTCATCCTACACAAACGCTCAAAAAAGCAGGGCTAAGAAATGGGTTATACACTCTGTTTCTGGTGCGAAGAGACTGTGAATCACCGTTTATGACGTGGCCTGTGCTGCTTCATCGCAGTCTGAGAAAAACAAGACGGTTGAAAGGCTGATGACATTTCCTGCTGCCATTGTGGGTCCAAGGGCGACACAATCACACCACACGCAGTTCACAGAACTGCAGGGCAACCGGGGATGCCGGTCCACACCAATGCACGCTTCACAGCATGGTTAACACCTACGACTCGCAAGCTTGCTGGGCAAATGTTTGGCGTATTTACCAGCTCTCTGTTTCAAAGAAAAAAACTTCTACCCAACACTATGATAAAGATGTTAACATGTATGTTTGCAATAATGAAAGTCACAGTTTTACTGGGGCATTAGGGGTAAATTGAATGTACTTTTTTCTTTTCTAATATACTTTTCTTACATTGCTACAAACCTGAGGTGATGAGAAAGTTTGTACTTGGTATTACTCTGGTGCTCATTATAAAACCCGCCGAAGCATCAATACTACTGCTATGAGTAGAGAATGGACTAGAATCAAAATCATGTATTTAGATCAGTGTTTCCCGATCTGGTCCTTGGGGACTCACGGTCAGTCCATGTGTTTGCTCCCTCTGAGCTCCTTACCAGACATTCCACATTTTTGCTCCCTACCAGGAGCTGGGAGGAAGCAAAAACATTGACTGTCTGTGGGTCCCTAAGGACCAAATTGGGAATCATTTTGATTCTAGTCCATTCTCGTCTCGCCGTCGTCATTCTGATGAGCATGCGTCATACGGAACCACACCCACGCACTCTGAGAAATCGCTTTGTAGTAATGATGTTTTGGGGAGGGTACATCAAAACCGGTGAAATAAATACTGAAAGCTTAACTTAAGTAAGAGACTTCGTTTTCTGACATCGGCATTATATTGTGACGCTTGGCATACCGACGCATCGGGGCAGCGATGGAGAAAGACGAGAAGGGATGATTTTGCACGCAGTTTCTCTTTATATAGTCCAGAAAAGGACTGTGCACAAAGTAGCAATACACAGAAGCACAGAACGGCCGAGAAACACGGGGAAGTGACGCTAAGGATAGTAGAGCACACACGACGGATAATTACACATCACTAGAGCACACCAGGATTACACATACAACACAGGTCAGGGTACACGCGAACTCGGGAGCACAAACGTTTATGCATTACAGGACACATACAAGGGTTATTTACCAGTGCTCCCAGCATGCTCAGCGTACTCACTGAGCTCCAGTACGCGGAACCATCTCAGTGGCGGCGCAAACAATATTTATACTTCCATCTCTACGGATTTGACTGAACTGGGGGCTAAACCGCGACGCTTTTGCGCCATCTGGTGGTCATTATGGGGAAGAGCAGCAATGTGGTTTTCAGAGATAAGGATCTTTGGGGGGGATATTGGGGGTTGTCTCAGAAAGAGAGTTACTCAAAAAGGTCAAGAAGAGCTATGTCACTGCAGAACCATGATGATGTGGGTGTTACCCACATTAGCGATTAGTGGTCCAGCGGTCTGCGAGAGTGATCGCCAGTGCTGGAGGTGCCATCGCAGGGTGTCACGCTAGCATGTCGCCGCAGGTTTCCCATCCTTAGTGACTCAAATCTTCCCCTCCCAGCACCCGCAGATCCAGAAAGAATCCCAGTACATCAAGTACCTGTGCTGTGATGATGCATGGACCATGACGCTTTGGGTGACCGGCATTCGCATCGCTAAGGTTAGCCCGACACCTGGAACCGAGACCTGCGCAGCGATAATGTGACACTAAGAACACGCCCTGGCTGTCTGAGGCCCAAAATACATGCGCTTTTCATGGGATGTGGTTCATGCATTATCAAGATTTACAGATGCAAACGTACGACTCATCTAAAACATTTAAAACTTTAGTAATGAAAGGAACAAAGTGTTAATGAGTCATACTCAGTACAGAGTCACACTCCCATGACCTGATGAACTACCTCCCCCCTCTTCTCAGTACGGGGTGAAGCTGTACGATAATTACAAGGCCGCTGTTTCGAAAGCAACAACGTCGTCCCTCTTCGCTAACCGTGCAGCCCCCTCCACCTCCACGTCCTCTGCTGCCCCGGCTGGTAAGATCCTACCTCCTCCCAATATCCTCTCTACACCCTGCTTCAATATTATCACTCTCTTGAGATCTATGGATGGATATAGTTGCTCAAAACGGGCGATTCTCAGCTCACTTTCCCTCCTGATCCAGCTAAGACCCCGGCTCAGGCCAACGGACACGCAGGGCCGCCCCCCCTCGCCACGGCGTTCTCTGAAGCCTGGACCCAGGCTGAGAATAAGGTGAGTGGACCGTTGTTACAGCATGACAATGAAATGTTACTGGTTCTATGCTGAATACATCTATGCATCCACAAGCTTCCATGAAGTGAGACATCTGACATTGCCAGGGAGGGGGTTGTTGTTTCTGGGACCCCATTGAAAAAGTCACCTTGGGGCTGTTCCGCCGACCCCCCTCAGATGCTCCTTAATGCCAGGCAGAAGGAGAGGCCCAGGGTGTCATATATCAGTAGGCCGTGACTCAGTTTAGTTTCAGCTACTGCTACAGTTAGGACTCCCACTTCGAGTCAAAGTTTCACTCCAGTTGTGACTCTCAGGGCGTGCCGGTGTCTTTTGCCAGATTACCAGTCCCCTGCGAGTATGACATTATCTAACGGCGAATGCACTTCTCGTCCACCTTAACAGGATCACAGTGACCTGTCTTCCCTGCCACTGCCACCTCCGGACCCCACCCTACCACCGCCACCGCCCCCACCGGCTCTGCCCAAGAAAGACAAACTTACCATACAGCCGCAGTCCGGAAACTTCCCCCCACCGCCACCACCAACCATGGACTTTCCGCCCCCACCTCCAGACCACCTGCTTGAGCTGCCCCCCGACTTCCTGCCACCGCCTCCTCCGGCCCCTGGTGAACAGGAATCCCATACTCTCCCACCCCCTCCGCCACCCCCTCCCCCACCCCCACCCGCACCCGCAGTGGTGCCAAATCCAGCTCCTGCACCAAAGAAGATGAGCCCTGCTCCCCCACAGAGGATGACCCCTGTTGCCACAGCGCCCGCCGGTGAAGACTTAATGTCAGAACTGATGCTAGCGATGCAGAAGAAGCGAAAACCCCTATAAAGGAGGTCAGGATGTTCAGGGTCTGGGAAATATATTTATACATATTTTAATACAACATGATAATTAGCATGTATCATTTTTAAAAAGGAAAACGCAGAAAACTGAAAATAAAATGTAACATTTAAATCATACACAGTTCATTAAATTACCATACATCTGTTAACATAACTCGGACAGTCATTGTATATACATTTTGAAGACAATATTCCAAGTAAAGACACTCAGTCAATTTGCTTTCCTGGATGTGAACGATCCACTACATCTGTGCCAGGCGAAAAAACTCACTCCATCAGGCTGAAGTCGAATGACCACTAAACAACCAGCATCATCAGTCTATGGGCCAAATACATCCGCTGACCCCAAGGTCAGTGGGGAAGAAAAGGTTCATCAACAGCCAATCAGATCTCTATGGGAAGAACAGCTGACGATTCAGTTTATAATGAACAATGTGTGCCAGTAATCCAAATCTTTAAAAACTCAACAAAGGACTGAAGTCTACTAATAATAACCACCCCCCCAGCCTTACCTCCCTCTTTCTTACCCCTCCCATCATATAGCTGGGCTGAGCGCACAGGCTCATCGCCAACCATGAGTATACAGACCAAAACAAAACATTTTTCATGGTCTGTGTTTCATCACAATGATAACCATAGGCAGTTTTGTCTCCCGATTTCCGACTGGACCGTATAAACCCGCTGCGCTTGGCCCTCTTTCTGCTGGAGCAATAACACCCTTCACAAGCTGTAAGTACTGTTTCAACAGCTGGAGGTGCTTTCCTGATGTCATCTTCCGTAACCTGATGTCACCACTGTTGATTTACTGATATCCCACTTTTCACTCCCCCTTGACTATAATTTCAAATCGACTTTGCAGCAGAACCATCCAGACTTACTGCTCTCACTGATCCAGGCATTATTTCCAGTCTGTAGTTAATTAATCACAAAAATATCCATATTCGCTGCATCTTGTCTAGGACAGATTATAAACGATAGACTGGTGTTATAACTGTCCAATACAGATTCAAAGATATATTGCAGAATGCATATTAAGTTGAAAAATATTGAGACCAGAGTTTAAAGCACATGTTTAAGCTGTACAGTATAACATATTGGTGACATTGCTTAGCAGGTTGTGGAAATAGCCCTCCAGGATAACCAGACTGCTGTGTCTTTACATGTATATGTAAGGGTTTGCCTTGGTCAGTAAAATACATTAAATACATTAATACATTAAAACAAAATAATAATAATGAAAAAGTGGTATTCAAATTGTCTGCAAAGTGAAATACAGTCCATCTACATTTCCACAGATGTTAAAAAAATGTTGCAGAAATACATCCATCCATCCATCCATCCATCCATCCATCCATTCTGGCTTCGGGAAACATACCTTAAATTTTTGTCCAGATGAAGTAGGGAAAAATTATGTAATCATCCATTTTAAAAAAAAAAAACCTCTGGTTGCGGGATTGCAGCGGGCGGAGCGGCGACCTCTGGTTGCGGGATTGCAGTGGGCGGAGCGGCGACCTCTGGTTGCGGGATTGCAGCGGGCGGAGTGGCAACGGCTTATAGCCACGGGAGAGCAGCCGGTAGAACTCCAGCAGGTTCTCCCAGATCCTCTCAACTTTCTGGGGATCTGAATCAGGGAAGAGGACTGCCAGCCTGTTCCTAACCTGTCAAGGGTGGGCAACTGCCTCAGGAGGAGCCTCAGAAGTCCCTCTGAACTTCTCAGGGCTTGGGACATGAGGAATGCCATCTGCTGGGAATACGGAGCCCCGCAGGGGGATCCAAGGGGGTGGACTGCTGGGTCGATTACAGAGCTCGGTATTCTTCCACGTTCAGGGAGAGAGGACTGACCCAAATCCAGCCATGGACCCAGGACAAAGGGGTTTTATTATACAAAACAGAACCAGAAAAAAAACAGAACCACGAGGGGTTAAACTGGGAACTAAGGATGAAAATAAAGGTGGAAGGGAACAAGAACTGAATACAAGGAGGTACGAGGCAGGACCCATAGACGGAGGACTCTCACAGGTAGATACAGGGGTGACTACATGGACGAAGACAATAACACTGACCTTCATGACCAAGCTGGGGAATACAGTGAGGGAAGGTTAATATACACATGGAGCACGATTACTGTCTGACAAAAGGTTGTAGCTTTGGTATAGTTTTGTTCCCCAAGGTACAAACAACATTAATGTACCCCCAATAGTACAAAAATGTTCCTCAGCGTCCATTCTGGTACCTTAAATTAGACGAAAAGGTACATTAATATCTACAACTAAGGTAGAATTGGCAGACCCTTGAGGGTACAACCCTAGTGACAAGGATTTTTTTTCCGAAAGCGTAGAGACAGGTGCAGACATTTGACACATTATTTTGATGATAATTAGATGCTTAAGAAATGGCCAACGACATCTGCCAGCCAAGGAGACACAATAAATTTTCATTTGGATTGAGATCTGGACTGTTTGCTGGCCATGTGATTGAGATGATATGCATTTCCTGAAGAAAAGCTTTAACACTTTATGCTCTGTGGCAAGATGCATTATCATCCTGAAAAATCGCTGAATCATCACCAAAAAAAAAAAATTGTATCGCTGTACATCTGTGCATTGACTGGTAATGATTGCCATCTCCCCTGCTCCTTAATATGACATACTACCCCATATCATAAGTGATACAGCATGACAATGAAATGTCATGCCAGGGAAATTTGCTTGTTTTCTTCAGGCAGTCATCTTTATAAAAGTTCCAGCATCACCTCCTTGGCCAATGCAGATTCGTGATTCATCACTGAATATCACTTTCATCCAGTCATCCACAGTCCAAGATTGCTTTTCCTTAGCCCACTGTAACCTTGTATGGTATTCTTTTGGCTTCTCTGTATGTAAATCAGCTGATTTCTTACAGTTCTATCACAAATGTTGACTCCTGTTTTAGCACATTTGTTTCTCAATTGTTTTTTGTGCATTTTCTATTTTTAAGGCATATTGCTTTGATTTTCAATCCTGACACTTTGATGTCTTCATTGGCCTAACCACATATTTTTCTTAAATGAATAATCTTCCCATTTTTTATAACTGCACCAAATTTTAGACATAGCTCACTGGGAACAACCAACATCTTTTGCCATACACCATTCTGGATTTTCTTCTTGAAGTTTTATAATCCAACAGCTAATTAAGGTCTGTAAGTATTCTCTTTTAACTGCAGACTAATTTGTATTTGCATTGTTTTAGAAATGCAAATTACAAGGTGACTCCATATTTTTTTCCTCTACTCGATCTTGACAAAAATATACCTTCCATAAAAATTAACATTTTTTTGTTGAGGTATGTTCCATAAAGCCAAAAATTTCAGTTAAACAAAAATCGTTTTCTGTCCTGTTATTTGTTTATTTGCTACAAAGTATAAACAAATCTGAGTGAACATCTTCTAAGAGTGATGACTCCAGAATATTTTGCCACGGGTTGTATACTCCAATCTTCACATTTGCCCAGAAATATCTGAGGAATTTGTGTAATGGCATGAAGAAGGTCAGTTGCACTGATGAAGTTCACATTTACATTCGGTTTATAATCTAGCACAGTATTTCCAGATTCCCAGGTGAATGGCTGCCTGAGAAATTATGACATACAAACCCCTTCGGGAGATAATGGTTTGTAAGTATGATTACAATGCTACTTATGTGTTGGTGTATTCACCAAGTAAATGGGCCAGCTTAATCTCCCAGCTTAACTTTTATGAGGAAAAAAAATACATTTGAGACTGAAGATGGTTTCAGTGCATAAAGAACAAATACAGGTGTAAAAAAACTGTGGAACAGGCTGTACCATACCTGATGGCATTAATATCGGAGCGTAAGGGGGTTGTAGTAGTTCACTATTACTTAAGTAGTGAATGAAATCCTCCAACCTATAGATCGTCCTAGGGACCATTATTAAAGATAATTATTACAACTGAATTACTACTCTACTCCTCAAGTTAACGCCCAATATTGTCATGGGAAAGCATTTTTTAAAACGACATGCTTAAGAATATATGTCGCTACTTCCTTATTGACGATTAACGCCAATGAGACAATTAACTCTAATGGGTTTATTAAGTTCTCAAAGGTGAGTCTGTGTAAAACATACAAAATGTCACTCAAACCTCATGAGCGAGTAAATATTATTTACTCGCATTATATTCAACTATCCCTGATTGACGCCTAATAATATTCCACCGTCCTCCGTTGGTTTCACATTTTGTATCGTTCTCTCTGATTGGTACAGTTAAATGCTTCGCTGTTTGGGATTGCTGTGTCGTAACTCCTCTTGTCAGTGATTGGTGCGTAGTTTATACTTTTCTGTTTCCTGGTTGGTCACGCTCCGAACGTGAATTCCGTTTCCTTCTCGTAACCTGCACTGGAGCGTTTACGGGCAACATGGCGCTCCCATTGAGCCGCTGCTGGAGGTGGACTTTAGGGAGTAGTACCGGTATATCCTTATTAAATACTGTATGTAGCGGTAATGGACGTCCTGCTGCTATTGCGACCGCGTCGGTGAGGAGAAGGGTTAAACAGTTAATATGGGGAACGAGTTGACTTAGGAAAGTGCAAGACATTCACTAGGCGTGCTGTCAGCCCCAAGAAGGTCAACTGGTAGTAAGCTAGTATCAGTGCAATACTATGCAGCTATTAGTTGCTTATGGGACTACCTGCATGTGTTAAAATCGCGGCAGTATAACCGCTGAGTATTAATATTTGTCTTCTAGCTAGGTGGCTTCATTTAATTTGTTTAGAGATTTTTTAGGCAGCAACCTGGCGGTCAACGTTATTACTGTTTATAACTAGGAAGGTCAACACTAATATCTTGAAATTGTTTCTTCGGTGGCTGTTGGCTTAGACAGCTAGTCTAACCAGGTGAAGTCGGTGTCAACTTGTATGTAGCCGGCAGGTTTAATTCAAAGTAAATTTCACGCTGACAAAAAAAAATCCATTCATTTCTGCATGTAGTTGGACAGCACCAAGCCTTGCTGATAAATATATATTTAGTGGTCTTATAAATCATTTCATAGGCGGTTATGGCAAATGATCGGTTTTCATATAACTAATTTATTTCAGATTTTGTCTGGGGACAGGCTTGTGAATCTAGCGTCAGTCAAGAAATTCAGGAGTCTTTCGAGGTAAATTCACGACGTTTTATGGCTTCTTTTTTTCCTCCAAATGTAGCAAAGGGGGGGGGGGGGTCTTACCGTGGGTTTAATTTGATTCCCTGTATCACTCAGGGATAATTTCCGGTCGCTCCCCAGTTCAGGAAGTGCCTGTACCTGCAGCGAGGTTCACAGCGATGCCAAAATAAAAGACCCATTTGCGCTCGCACAGAAAGACTTGAGGAACTTGTACGATGACATCAAGAAGGTTAGTGTCTTTGGTGTTAATGAAGTTTAACATTTGCTTGATGTAGTATAATTTTTCCAGGTGAAAGTGTACAGAATAAAGCATATAGCTGTGACATTTATTGTTGTACATTTTATATCGAGGCAATTTTATGTAACTTTAAATACACAAGTAATCATTTTGTGATTGACTCAGATCTAATACTCAAGTACTCTTTTTACAATCCATTGCACTAATTAGTGTTTCTATGTGTTGATTAATGTGCCCTTTGCAGGAGATGTTTGTATCTGTTGCAGAGCTAAAATCTTTGTGTGACTACTACTTTGACGGGAAGGGCAAAGCTTTCCGGCCTATGATAGTGGTACTGATGGCTCGTGCCTGTAACCTCCACAGCCACCGAGATGGGTAGGTATGCAGTAAAGCAAGGTGAAATGCTATAGGGTGGGAGGGTTAGAAGGGTTCAAATACCCACGTATGGTACTAAATAATTTTGCCCGTTGGGTTTTGTTAGTGATCTTCTGCCAGCCCAGCGCTCTATAGCGATGATCTCAGAGATGATCCACACGGCAAGTCTGGTGCATGACGATGTCATCGACGGGTCTGACATAAGGAGAGGCAAAACCACCATCAACAATGTCTGGGGCGAGAGAAAGGTCAGCCTGTGAGCATGTGGTCATCTCTCTGGCTTCCTAAGTGCCCTCAGATATTCCACAACTTCTCAGTGTTTCCAAATTTACTGCCGAAACCACAGTTTCTATTGGCTAAAAGAGAGACCTGTCTCTGAGTACCAAGTGGATCCGATACTGTCTATAACTGGGCTTAAATCCTTGGTTTTTATAGGGACAGATTTGGTCCAAGGGTTTTCTTCTCTTGTGCTTTGCAGGCGATTCTGGCTGGAGATTTCATCCTGTCTGCAGCGTCCATGGCTCTTGCCCGGATTGGCAACAACACCGTGGTAGCAGTATTGTCTCAAGTCATTGAGGACTTGGTGAGAGGTAATTCAGCCCCTTTCGTGCTTATGCTTGGAAAGGACTTCATTCTAGTCTGCGTGACGGTTATACTTTACATAATTACAAAAATCACAACACTATCCCCTTTCCTCTGGACAAGACTGACATTGAGAGTTGGGATTTATACCAGATTTGAACTTCGCAGGTGAATTCATGCAGCTGGGATCCAAAGAAAACGAGAATGAGCGATTCAAACACTACCTCGAGAAAACCTTCAAGAAGACCGCCAGTCTGATCGCGAACAGCTGTAAAGCAGTATGTACGTCCTGTAATTGCAGTGACCGTGTGGGATTGGTGGGCACGGTGTCAAATGTAGTAACTTGGCCATTTTCTCCTGCATTAGGTGTCGATTCTTGTTAGCTCTGACCCTGAGATCCATGAAATTGCGTATCAGTACGGAAGGAACATCGGAATCGCATTTCAGGTAATTGTGTTTCTAGCTGTACAGCATAAGTGTGCCCTGCTGAATTGTCTTGTACCTGGAGGCTTTGATGGCTGTACCATGAAGACTTTAAATCTTTAAGTCTGTCTTGGTACATAACCTTGGTGGTTTGTCCCACAGCTGGTGGATGATATACTGGACTTCACATCATGTGCAAACCAGCTAGGAAAGCCCTCTGCTGCTGACCTCAAGCTTGGCCTGGCCACAGGACCAGTTCTGTTTGCCTGTCAGCAGGTAGGATTGTGTGTGCGTGTGACTTGCTGATCTGTCATCTTGGAACTGAGCAGTACTGGCACACCACAAGGTCCAGATGTACTTAATATGCAAAGCTGACATTTACTGATTTGAAATGCTAAATTTAATTTGGTTTGTCTAAATATCAGAATTGTTTACTGGCTTATCAGTTTGACCTGGATGTACCACATTCTGATGGCATGCAATCCGTTTTGCATAGTGATATGTACTTGATTAGCTCTACAAATAATATTTCCCACCACTGGCAGTTTCCTGAGCTGCATGCCATGATCATGAGGAGATTTGGCTCCAGTGGGGATGTGGACCGGGCCTGGCAGTACGTTCTTCAGGTGAGGTCAAACTCGTGACATCAGATTGTTTTTATTGAGGGGGTGGGTCTGCCAGGCCACTTACATATGCCGTCTCGTTAGAGCGATGGCGTCCAGCAGACCCTGTATCTCGCCCAGAGCTACTGCCAAGAGGCCATCCGGCAGATCAGCCAGCTGCGCCCATCCTCGGAGCGTGAGGCGCTAATCCAGCTGATGGGGCTGGTCCTGAGCCGGGACAAGTGATCGCCGCCCCCTCCATCCCACCGACAACCCAGGCAGCTCCAGGATCGTGTGGCGGAGCAGGGGGAACCCGCCCTGCTTGACCTGCCAAAGGTTAACGAGGAACGAAAGATGATTAAGGCAGCACGGTACTACATGCTCTGTCCTCCATGACTGGGGAGGGACTTTGACTCCAGGGGTTGACAGGAGTGGAAATGTCACTGGGGATTCGAAGTCCCTGGAGAGCTGTGTGGTCAAAGGCCTGAGAGATTACTCAGCTGTGACCTGTATGACGTGGGTGCGGTGCTTCTCAATGTTTTCGATATTCAAGGCCTTAATACACTTGTCATGTATTCGAATAAAAATGATTTTTATTAAGTTGTCTCTCCATCCACTACAGTAACATTTGGATATAAGGGTTATTTATTATAAAAGTCTGTACATACAGTTTCAACACTTATATATACAAATTAAGGGGGACAGTGGCACTTTTTTTTTCCCATGTAGCTCCACACTTCCAGCGTTTTCCAAAGCTGACCAGTAGCTAAGGCATTCAACACAGTTCTGAAAAGGATCCATGACCAAGTGCTTCACTTATGGTCCTCATTGCTTTGGGAAGAAATGTGGCCAAAAGGCTGGACATGTATAAAAAGGTACAGATCCAGTAAGACACCCCAGTAGGTGTCTGTACAAAACAGCGGCCCACCGACAGTCATCACGCTAAATCTCCGGGGCTGAACAAACCCAGCCTCCTCCAGCTTCTGGCCTGCCTGCTAAAATGCCAAATTCACAAAACCTACACTGTACATACACCTCAGAATTACTACTGAAGAATGGGACCAACTTTTATACAATAAACCTGAGTTATGACAACCTAAAGTCATGAAGAAAAATTCTCTATGAATATATATGAATACAAGAAATGATTGGCTAGTCCACTGATTGACATGGAAAAACAATGTCCTCCCACTCCCATTGCATTGGTCAACTGTCATTGGTTGTGGAAATTAGAGCCTGATGGATTAAATCAGCTTGCCAATATTATCGGCTGATTTGCAGATAAATCAGTATCAGCATTAATAACGGCCGATAAATGATAAAAACAAACAGACGGATCAAACATACAAGACGGAACATATATTTAACTGTCATTTAATCAAAATTTTTATATATTTTCTTGCATTTTTGTTCAAAGTACTATCTATGACAATAAAACAAAAACTGCATTATGTCATGTTATCTTGGTGAGGAATTTAAATAACTACACATAAATGTAAGGAAAAATCTTCTGTACAAGTTTGAGAAAAAAAAAAATATTGCCGATTATTGGACTTTTAAAACCTCAAATATCATTGGAAAATTCTGTATTGGTCAGGCTCTAGTTAACATTATCAAAAATGATAAAACTACACCTTTAGAGTCACCAGACTGGCCATTTGCAATTATCAGTTGGTACTGACATCCAAAAGTCCCACAGTATTTAGGATTACATCCTCTTTACAGAGCAGTAACTGATCACTGTGAAGGTGCGTTTTTAATATATATATATATATATATATATTTTTTTTTTTATATCAAACCCAACACTGAGCACACAGACCCAAGCAGGAGTTTCAGTCTGCTGGCAGACTGTTTAAAATCAGGGCCAGATGTACAAATTCATGGTGTAAATATGATACTAAATGCAAAAAATACAAATGAGAGCATCTAGAAAAAAAAAACATTAAAAAATAATTTGAACCTTTTGTTTAAAACAGCGCTCAAGATACGCATTACGACACAACAGAAGCATAAGTGTACTTATGTTACAATACAGTTCTCATGTTTTGCAAGTTGTACGCATGCTTTGCACTAAAATTTACGTTTCAGGAATCAAAAAAGACCAGTAGTACCTTGATGTACTTTTTCTATTGGAAAACCTATTTGAAAAAATGTTCGCCTAGTGTTGGTCGGCCGGTAAAAGGCTATAGGAATGGCACAGTCAGAAAATTTATGATCCAAAACATGTGAATCCCACCTATCCTAGTCTGCCCCTGTTTCTGGTAAAAAAATAATTAAAAGAGATGGCAGGATGGACACTCACGGGAACACACTACACAAAATCCAGGGCAACCTGTGAGGTGAAGTACAGTAAAGTAAACTGACAGCTATCTACGGTCAGAATACAAATAAACATCTCACATCTCATTTTATCATATTTATCCTCGTATAAAAAAGATTGTTATTCTCAGATGCAATTACAAAACGAGCTTTCATCTTAATGCACTTGTCTATGCTTTTGTGGATTGGTGCTCTGTGTCTGATTGGCGGAGTTTGCTCAGTCGGCATAATGCATGATGGACTCCACATAGTTGCCGGGGAAGAGGCCGGTGACGCCATTGCAGACGCCCTCGTACCAGCCGTCGTCGTTCTTTTTGATGAGGTAGATGACGGCGCCCTCCATGAACGACAGCTCGTCGTCCTTGTCCTTGCTGTAGTCATAAACTGCAACGACTGATGGCCGGGGGCGAGGATGACAGAGGAAGAGAGAGGGAGGAGCAGGGAGAGAAAAGGCAGATCAGACACTTACCCATGCTATGCTAACACAGGCTGGCTATGCTAACACAGGCTGGCAATGCAAACACCAGGCCAGAGTCTGGCAACTTCCAGGGACCAGGAACCCACCCAGAACAGCTCCCTATATTTTTGGAAAAATGGAGTAGCAGCAGCCCCCTAATAATCCCTAATTACTGTATGGCACTGGTCACCTTTCTCAATGTAGTTCTTGGGGGCCCACTGCGGGTCTCCCTCAGCATAGGGGTCGTTGAATTGCACCACGGCTGGCTCCTCTTCCTCATAGTCCACTGGTGGGGGTGGCGGGGGTGGGGAGTCATCAAACATGCCCATGTCATCAGGCGGCGGGGGAGGGGGCGGAGTCGGGGTGTCCGCGACTGCAAAGGGAGGGCGTTCGAGGCATACGAGAGTCAGATTGATTGTTAGGCCAGGCCGGCCTGAGCAGGCCTGTGTGGGCGGAACAGAGGCAGGTCATGCATTGCATACTCTGTTCCATGCGGTCACCATGCAGGCTTGATTTCAGCGGGAGGGGTGGTTAGTAAAGGGTTTGCATGCAGCTAATGCTACACTAACAGTTTGGGGGAGGAGGGCATTTGGAACGATACCTATGAAATTAAGGGCGTAGACCTGGGTATAGTTGGTAGGGACACGCCCCTACTAATACCATAGGAGTAGCGGGGCTGATTCGGTCCCTACCAGTGCTGAAACCAAACCTACGCCCTTGTATGAAATGGACAAGAAAGTGCAACATCTATCACCATCATTGACTAGCAAAACCAACATAGTTATAAGTAAATTCTCTTTTAAAATCTAGCCTACCTTTTCAAAAAATTGGCACGACTTAATATCAGAATGGCACTTGAACTTTAATTTAACTCGGCAAAATCAGACTGTGAAAACATCTGTGCCTATGCTTTACAGACTTGCATTTAAAGCTGTAGTCCTACTGGGAGCTGGGATGGAGCAAAAACATGAACTGTCTGGGGTCACCAAGTATCAGGTTGGGAAACACTGATCTAGTGAAAGAGGTAGACATGAAGTACTGGACTGTTACCAGCAGATGGCAGTGTCAGCACACAGAACTGCACCCTGAACAGCCAGAAATGTATTTCGTCAGAGAACAGGGTGTGGATTTCCACTGGGCACACTAACAGCCTGAACAAAATCACACAGTAATACCACCCAGCCACAAAATCCTGCTGTGAATTTATCAAGCAGTTCTCTGAATAGCCAGTAGGTGGCGGTGGCAGCAAGAGCAGCTTTCCCTAAGGTCCCATCACACTTGAAGCAGCATTCAGATTAGTGTAAGACTGAAAAAGAGAGATGACTGATGGGCCATGAGGAAAGTGCATCACATGGCCGGCTCAACACGACATGCGCCATCACCACCGCATCTTCTGAAGGCAGGATTTCTGGCTGCCAGATCCACAGCACTTGTTTGCCAAATATCATTTGTATTCTTTTTTTATTTTTTATTTTTTTTTAAACTTTCCAATTTTTCCTACAAAAAGCAGTTCACGTTTCCATTCAAGCATTTGCAGGGGGCCCAACAACGTATCAAACCTTCTCTCAGACGTCCCAGCTGCCAGCCCCCACCTACCCACCACCATTTGGACAGGAGGTGGACGGCCTGGCATGGGGAAGCTACACGCCGTTACCGATGTGTGTCCGTCGGCTGTCAGCAGCAACGGCCAATAGGCACCCGAGAGGGGGGGGGGATGTTTGATGGCAGAGGGAAATGTTTGGCCTGTTGGGGCAGGAAGGGAGGGGGACGTGACGTGGCAAGGCATGGTGGGAGCATGCAGACTTACTGTTCTCCTGCACCCTGGCAACAAAGCCTGTCAGGGGGATCTGTGGGGTCAGCTGGGGCATTGGGGGAGGAGGGGGGGCAATGGACACTGGGGGAGTCACACACACACACACACACACACACACACACACACACAC